GGGGGGAGCCACCAGGCTGCTTTCCTTTGTTTGCATGTGTTGGCATGTGCGGGGTGGGGGACAGGGCGCAACAGCTGCGCGGCCAACATCCTCCCCGGCCCCAGCGCCCCCCTGCCTGCCCAGCGCTCTGCCCTCAGCCACCGCTTTGCCACACGGATACCTGACTTCTGTCCCCTTTTCATTCCCCTCGCCCCACCCCTGTGTAGGACCCAGCTGGGATTTTTGAGCTGGTGGAAGTGGTTGGCAATGGCACCTACGGGCAAGTGTATAAGGTGGGTGTCTTCTCTCGGCTTTGTTTTGTCTTTTCTTTTTTCTCCCCTGGTCTCGTTTTGTTTCTCTCCTCTCTTCTGCACGCCACCGGCTCTCTCTGCTTTGTTGCCTGCCCGGCTCGTGCCAGGCCGCCGCGGTTTGCTCGCAAAAAGTTAAGCGCGATACAAAAGGTGATGCTGATGTTATAGGACGACTGTGCCAGCTGCCTGCCCACCGTGGTGTTTTCCCAAGGACAGCCTCCAGGGGTTAAGAAAAAGGGACAGAAAGGACTGCTTTAACCACCCTTTCCCCAAACCGTTTAAGATCTTCCTTAGTTTTTTTCCTTCTTCTTATCAAGAATGCAACTGGCTAAGCAATCACTGGGGGCCAGCTGAGGAGGGGAATGTGCTCCTTGCAAATCCATTAAATAATAAATGAAGGAAGGAAGGTCTTGCTTTTGTGCCCTCTTAAAACAAAGGGGTTTGGCTTTGTTTGAAACTTGTCACCTGGTTTCCTGGTTGAAAACCCTGCCCAAGTGGCTCTAGATGCCAGGTCTAGGCTAAGCGGTGCTGCTTGTAGGGGGTGTGTGACTGGGGCAGGGGAAGAGTCCGGGAGCAGTGACAGTAGACCAGCAGAGCAGGAAAAGATCATTGTCTGCAAACAGTAAAATCAGAATTCCTAGAATAACCTGTTAGACGAGTGTATAAAGAACAAAAAAAGTGAAGGGAGAGAGAGCCCATGTGGGTGTGAAGCTATGGTCTACTTTTTAACGTTCAGTACAGGAAACAAATGCACATTGAGACTGCATGACTTTGCAATGAGCAGCTCTTACCAGTATGACTAATTAACTATGATCCCCATTTATTCCAATAAAATGGAAATTGGAAGGGGGCATTCTTTTCTGTGTTTTTTAAATAAGACTACAGAGCTTAACCTTTCCCCAGTTGTAAATTGCTATTCTATACATCTCCCTAACTATAAGTAAGCCATTTCGGTGCATCTTCTACAAACAAAAAGCATTTAGTTTTTCTTTGAGAAAGTAAGCTCCAGCATCAAGGATAGAGAATCATATTATCCATAATGGACAAATCTCATTTAAAAGTAGAAATCGAATATCCTGACTGCTGCTGCTTGCAAAAGGCTGGAAAACCATATGGCTCAACAGGCCTGGGTAAGGTATAAAGGCTGATTAGAAGCTGACCTCTGACATTTCCCTCAGGGTAATCCATTTAATAATTATTTTTCTGTAATCTTTCTGCTACAAAGCTTGCATCACCTGGACCCTCTTTATAAGAAAAAGTGGGGTGTGAATGCCTGACTTTAAACTCTCCTGTTGATTATTGCAGCTGGTATATTGTTAGTTGGTTTACCTGATAAGGCTTTGAACTAATTAGTCAATTCTTTGTTGGGTTAACTGCCTGACAGTAGGAGTTCTTAATTTAATTTTGTTGAAATGCCCTTGAAGAGTCCTAGAAAAACTACTAAACTCATCTCCACACTACCCCAAACTTAGCCAACATATTTATCAAACAATGAATAAGAAGTTTTGATTACATGTAAGTTAAGAGTCGTGTGTTGGAAAGACCTCATTGTTGGTACTACAGTTTAGAAATCATCTAAATGCTGCTACCTTTGTTAGAAACTCCTTGGACATCAGCATCATATTTTGGCAAGTGTGAGCTTAAAATAGGGGACAGGTTCATTTTTTGTCTGTGTAAGGTGACATAAGCAACAAGACTTTCCCAAGATAAGAACGCAGGGTTTATGGAAACAAAGGTCTGATCCTGAGTTCCTTGCATAACCTAGACACCTTAGGGCTAAGGTAAGAGTTTTGCATGTAAAAAGAATATAGCAATGGGCCCTAAATTAGTAGTTAGTTTTCTGAGTCCTCAATTCTGTGTTTGGGGTGGGAGGAGGGAATTCAGTACTGTGGCAGGATGAGAACTAACTGGATTTGTTTGTCAAATAGAAATAGATTTTCAGCCATTTAGGATTGCATTACAAACAGTCATTATACATTTCTCAGATATTGCTAGTTTGATTTACTTCCAGGTTTGTCTTGGCATCAGTGATGATGTCATCTGGACTGTAGGTATATGGTTGGCTGGCTAGCTGCCACTGCAGAGACTACAGAGGGAGCATGAGAGTGCATTACGTTATCTCTTTGTCTAATTCATATACATTGGTGATTATACTGAAGGTTGTTTGTCTTGCTTAGGCATTTCTCTTCAGAACATAAAAAGATCCTCAACCTGTTGACCATAGTCAATACTAGTTTTTTCTGTCTCTCAAGTCCACTCCATTTCTTTGAAAATGGCTTTTTCATGAAAGAGAGAAATTATAGAAGATAAAAAAAACCAAAACAAAACAAGGGGCAGGGGGGAATGGTGAAGGTCTAAAATAGGCTTCTGAATCAATATTTAGCATTTAGAGAGAGCCCAAGTTTTGCAGTGTAGGCAGAGCCATTCACCAGTCTGGAGCATTATGTATAAATATTGGGATTTTGTGCAGTTACAAGAGTCTGCCAATGTGGAATTCACTGTGGGAATGGGACATAAGCAACACTGCTTTTCAATAGTCTATCTCCTAGTCAAGTGAGTAGCTTCTACCTTTTTCTTTTTAATCATAGACTTGGTTATTGTTCCCCATTTTTCTGGGGAACTCTGCATTTCAAGAAAAGCATATTATGCAGTGATGAATCAAGGGAAAAAATGAACATGAGATTCCACTAGGCTTGGTGTGATTGAATGAGATGGAAATTATTTAGTTACTATGCTTACTGTGGGGAGGTTAGTTAATTTATTGGTTTGTGTCCAAAAGCTAGCTACAATCCACTGTCAGAGAATTTTTATTTCTTCAGTATAAGAAGTGAGGATGTGTATATGGCTTGTCTAGAGGTTGTTGGCTCTTTTGTCATAGAGTTTCAAATGTTGAGAAGAAGAAAAATAGCAACTTCTAGTGTTCTGGGCCAGGAAGCAAGTAGTTAAAATTTTGAGATACAGCAAGTGAAGTTGCTCTGAATTGCTGTGGAAGTAGAAGATCTCCAGGTTTCTTTTTTAAAAGTATAAATTGTAATGAGAGAAGTATTTTTATTAGAATTCTAAGAGGAGTTTCTCTTCAACAGGTTATCAGCTGATTTTGAGCTGAAAGGCATGTGCAGACTTGTGCACAAATGTGTTTCCTTCTTTTAGATTGCGGAGCTCGGCTAGCTGTGTGTTCTAGTCATAATGTCTAGTTGTCAGGGTTTTTTAATAAACAAACAATAGGAAATGAATTTATTGTTAATCAAGTTTCAATTTTCAACTACCATATTTTATTGACGGCTTATTTCTAGGAAAAGGTGCACGTGGTATGTGAATAAATACAGTGATATACTATGATACAACTTGCTTTTGGGAGATTATCTGAATGACATGTAACCTAATGGCATATGTAGTTATGATGTAATTGTACATGTTTTTGAGGGTTATCTTTTGGAGTAAGTTCTTTGCATACAGTGTCTTCTAGTCTTTAAGTCTATCACATTTTATCAGAGCACTTAAATGCAAATTCCAGCAATACTTACCTGGCAGCTTGTCTTAAAAATTTTCTGTGGATCATTTGCAAATACTGCAAATCATCCCAAGCAATATTGTACTTCTTTAGTTAGTTTATTTTCCAGACCAAAATAGTAAACTTCACATTTGAAGGGTAAAGGTTACTTAGCCAAAAAGAAAAAATGTTTACTTGTAATTTGAGAGAGAATCTTAGTAAATTACTGTCACTTTTTTTTTTTTAATGTGCAAAACTGAGTATATAAATGATAGGCATTTGGTCACCCTTTTAGAAGTTTCATGAAACAGATCTGAAGTTAATAAAGTGGCTGCTGGTATGTAATTTACAAGCTAACTTTAGATTAAACTATAGTAACATTTAATTATTTCTCTTAGAAAAAATAAAAAAGATATTAACCTTTTATAAAAACAGCTGTGGTACATGTGCTGTTACTTCTGTCCTTCTTACATATGGCAACCACGCATTTCTAGGTTGGCAGAACTGACTAGGAAAAAAAATTCCCATGCTAGGTTTGAAGCATAACAAAAAAAAGTGCCAGAAAGCTCGGAGTTAGGGACAGCAGTCCTAAGTTCCCTTAATTCGTGCTGGTCTTGCTTTCTAAGTATCTTGTAATAGTTAATTCATAGTGAAGGCTTCTTTTGTTGATTTATGTTGCAGCCTTCCAAAACTGCATGTAAATGATGTGTATTGTCTAAATTCTGGCTCATAAAAGGAAATAATGTAAGATGTGGTAGTTTAAATGCTGATTTGAAAATAAATTAAACTAGGATAAATGTTTTTCTCTCACTAAGGATACCCTCTCTCTCAATGGATTTTTATTTAAAAAGATAGCTTTTTTTTGTTGAAGGAGGGGATGTAGCGCTTGGTATTTTTAACTAATTGTTGACTGATTATATAGCATAGATGTCCGTTCATTAGAGAGACAGAAAAGAAAGTGCATCATTGTGGATTCAAATGATTTTTTTCAAATGTGAATACAATTCCAGTTTTATCACTATAATGTCAAACTGTATTCAGTATAGTTGGGTCACTTGGTTTCAGGAACTGGACCAGATCAGCTTATTTAAGTATGAACTGCTTTCCTTCTTTTCCTCTTATTTTCTGAGGGAATTTCATTGTCCAGTATTGATTTTTTTTTTTCTTTTTTTTTTCTTGAATGAATTGGTAAGGGCAGAATAGTGCTTGTAATTTAAAAAATAAAGAAAGGAAAAAGTGGTATTTTAAAAGTTTTTATAGTTGCATGTATTCTCATTTTACTCAGTTGCATTGTAAAAGGATTGCCCACTTCTGAAAAGCCCCCTACCTCCCAAATCCTTTCAATTAAATATACAAAAGCTAGGCAGGTGGCCAGTGGGGATTACTGATATTTATTTTTATTTAAAAAAGTGCAACCTGCTAATTGTGGGTAACCACATGTTCCCTCTCTTCCCTCCCCCATTCCATCTGTCTGTTTGTCAAACCTACTTTT